GTGTTTTTGTCCGAACATATGCTTGCCATTAAAATTCAGTTACCGTGAACTGTAACTGAGATAAGGTTGTTAAAATACTTTTTACTACATTTCACAACTAACCAAATAAACCCAGTACTTTTGCATGGCATGTGCAAGGATACAGGAAAATGATAATTTACACAAAGAAAACCCCACATAGAGTTGACAAAGCTTAATTTGTATTGAATTCAGAACATTCCTTTAAAGAGTATATCGTCTTTCTAAGTGACTGATTAAAACTGGTGTCCACCGCCAGCATCTTTAATCTGCAGGGTATTATCCCCAATCCCAATGAACACCTGGTGCTTGGCCTAAGGCTAATAAATCTTTCATGTCCACAGATTTCTGTCCAGACTTTGGTAACAGGGCCTAAAAATTTAAAAAGTGTGTGTGTATAATTTTATATATATATATATATATAATAAATAAAACAAACAAAAGCGATGTATTGTTAAATCTAAGTACAATGCAAAAGAAAAAACAAATCTGTAAAGGGCCCACCCATTTATCGTTCTTTTAATAATCTATTTGGCAACGGTTATGCTACCCAACTGTGCTCTGGAAATGACACCGTGCAACTGGATAGGACTCATAGTTCTATTGCTAATCATTACATACATTTTATGGTTTACATGGTTAAAATTAACACAAAGACTAAAGACAGATACTTACATTCGATCTTCTTCTTGAGCCGAGGGCAGACAACAAACCAAACGATGATAGCGATGACCAGGGCCAAGCCGATGGAAATGAGCAGCACTCCCCACCAGAGCAGCTGATCAAAGCCCAGCACTGCAGTCCCATCATTCACAGGAGGAAAGGGACCAGGAGGGGTGTTGAGGGAGAGGTGGGGAAGAAAGGAAAGGTGCTTTTGAGACAACAAGCAGCATGTGCTACCATCAACAAACAGCATTAGGGAATGAACAGGGACATTGTGGACTGGTTGTTAGTAACGGTGTTGGAGTTAAACATTAAGTCATAATAAGTGGATTTACTTCGTCCAAAAGTTGCTTGCACTCCTTTTGAGGAAATGCATATTCAGAGAATAATACATAGGCCAGCTGCTCCCATTTATCATTTTCAGTTAGAAGACTATTGTGAAAAGCATTTTAAAAAATCGACTTGCTCTACTTGTTTTGGTGTCCATAGAAACGCAAGCCAAAACAACCCCTGCAACCAAGTGTCAAATATCTTAGTCACATTCAGAATGCAAGCACAAGGCCTGTCATCTTATGTAACACTCTCAGGTGAGATGTGAGTGTGAACAGCAGTAAAATGTTTCAGTGACAAGACCGCGCACAAGGCCGCTGTACCATATGGTCAGTAAATGCGGGTGCCTAAAAGGGGTCATAGGATGCCCATTTTCCACAAGTGGATATGATTCTTTGGGGTCTTAATAAAAAGTCTGTACCATTGAGAAATTTTAACCAAACTATGTTAGTGT